TTTTACGGTTTTATTCATTTCTGCCGCGTGTATGGCGGCGTTGGACCGTTAACACGTTCCGTGCCGAGCTTTTTTTACTCGAATCTTCACACTTTGATATTTTACTAAAACTTGATGTATTACGTGCAATTATTAATTCTCGTACACATAACAACGTAACAAAAACTTATCAACGCCCATTCTCGCGGTGGAAATTGATTCTTCGGTTCTAAATTTCTTGTAAACAATTTGTTCAGTTCGCTAAGTAAACATGCAAGCGTGTACCATCGATGGTACACGTGGCACGGAACGTGTTAAGGGTTAAAACCCATTAGTGACAATAGAAGGTACGAAAGAATGCTATAAAACGTGAAGAAAAATAAAATGGGAAAAAAACACGAAAACCGGAAGAAATGAAAAAGAAAGATACCAAGACACGAAGATACCCGAATTGATTAACTTGTGTGCGTTACGGTGAAGTTTCTTTTTGTATAATTGCTCGAGTACAAAGAGAAGCTAAATCACTATCTTTTCACGGGAAAACAAGAAAAGAAGTTGAAATTGAAATTCAAAAAGACGACAATTAAATTGCTGATTTCGAAGTTCCTTCTGCAAAAGCTATCCGGCTGCGTTGCAGCTGCTGCTGCTCTGCTCGATATACAGCCGCGCCCTCGTTATACGCTCGCGCGAGAGAGATAGTCACGTTACGACCGCGAGCATAATCACGACCACGCGAGAAGCCGTAAATCGTCGCGGTAACGAGCTAAAGCGGAGAAAGAGAGATCGGTTATTGTCACTGATGCGTCGCACAGTGGTTTAAAACGCGATCTTCTACTAGCTGTGCAATATTTCGCGCGGCCACGGTGCCGCGGCGCCAACGAAAGAAGAGAATCGGTTGCAAACGAGTCGATTAATATTCTATGACCGGCCGTCCAGAATGCTGAATTAAATTATTCCGAATTCCTTCGTAGGAAAATGAACGTGCTCGGAAACGATTCGTATCCAACCTGGAGGTACGCGAGCGTCAAATCGACGGACTTTGGTTGTCTCTTCTTGTTTTTTCTATTTTTTTCTTTTTACCAATGGAACGCGAGAAGGGATGCTCGATGCTGCTCCGTCGATTTGACGCTCGCGTGCCACCAGCTTTTAACACGCTCTTTTCTTTAACACGTTCAGCGCCACGTCGATCAAATATGGGTGTGACACTGATTTTTGACCAATTGAAAATTCATTTTCATTGTAACATATTCGAAGAAACCGAGTTTGACTAGAATGTTTCAAATGCGAAGGAGTTACTACTACGATCAATTTTATACCATTACCATAATTTTATAATTACTACATTATTTTACCAGAAATATCACCCACTACGATAAATTTTTTTAACTTCCTACTTTCGGTTCGATTAATCAAATCGCTTCGATTTTGTAGGAATTTCAGTGGTCGATCGTGGCCACTGAATGCGTTAAAAAGCTGCGTTCCCGACGAAATACGGGCTACGGTAAAGCGACACACGACTTGCAACAAGTACGAGGAGGTGCAGAAAGAAACCGAAGCAAGCGGGAAACAGCTGGCAACGAAAGCAGATAGGCTTTCCTCGCCGGAAGGAAGAAATATATCGTTTCGCCGAAGGTGTAACTGCGCTCCAAGGGAGTTCGAACGACCTGCGAAGAGGAGAAGGGAAAATATTCCGAGGAGGAATCATCTTCTTCTTGGAGCTGATCCATCGGAGACAGGGTCAAGCTTTTTTATCGCTTTTCTCGCGCAACAACGGCGATTCTTGCGCGGACCGTCTCTGCGCGGCGATCGACAGATAACCCCTGAATAAATATGTCGCCTAATTTAAAGGACATTCCCGTTCGCGATAAACGAATGATATGATTCCGACGCTTCCTCTTGCTACTATCGAATTGTTAACACGTTCCGTGCCACGTGTACCATCGATGGTGATTTAGCTTCTCTTTGTACTCGAGCAATTATACAAAAAGAAACTTCACCGTAACGCACACAAGTTAATCAAATCGGGTATCTTCGTGTCTTGGTATCTTTCTTTTTCATTTCTTCCGGTTTTCGTGTTTTTTTCCCATTTTATTTTTCTTCACGTTTTATAGCATTCTTTCGTACCTTCTATTGTCACTAATGGGTTTCAACCCTTAACACGTTCCGTGCCACGTGTACCATCGATGGTACACGCTTGCATGTTTACTTAGCGAACTGAACAAATTGTTTACAAGAAATTTAGAACCGAAGAATCAATTTCCACCGCCAGAATGGGCGTTGATAAGTTTTTGTTACGTTGTTATGTGTACGAGAATTAATAATTGCACGTAATACATCAAGTTTTAGTCAAATATCAAAGTGTGAAGATTCGAGTAAAAAAAGCTCGGCACGGAACGTGTTGACGCGTCCATACGCCGCCGCGTGGTGTCGTATACCGGCACGGGCGAAGCTAACATTTTGACTAGTTTCGAAAATTCATTTTTACTGCGATACACTTGAACGAACCGAATTTTACCGAGACGTTAAAACGCCGCGATAAATTTGAACTTTCCCGTTTCAATTTCATTAACGCTAAACCTACCCGGCCATGAAAATTGGAAAATTTATGTTGTTTCATAAGAACGGCGGGGCTGAATATATTTTAGTCCTGTTCCCGCATTTTTATTATAATATGCGCCGCGGTATAGAAATTTATTCGAGTACTTTCTACGAAAGAATCTTTTTCAGTTGCAACGATCCAAACACTATGTCGCTCCGGTGGCACCGCGCCGGGGTGCCATGCGAAAACTATCTGTTGTATGCCGGTGGTACCGTTTCGGTGGCATTTTAAAAAACTGAAATGACATTTGAACTATATCTCTTGGGTGTTAAAAGGCGGCGAACTAACTACAGCATTGTGCTTATTCGACTAAGAATTAAGTACGAAAATTCTTGGATGACATATCTTAATTTTAGGAATTTATATTAACGCCATATACTCGAAATTTTTGTTTAAAATCTAAAATTTCCAAGCTATCATGCCGGCGTCGAACAAAAGAATCGTATCTAAGATCTGCGGACGGCATAGTGTTAACACTTGGCCAACCGAACGGGGAAATCTACCAGTTTTAAATTCAGTCGGTTGACGATCGAATGGATGATTGATCAAAAATTAAAAATGATTGCCTAATTTGATTAAGATTTGCAAGAGGTACGGAATGCTGAAGAAGCGAAGAAGTGAAGCGGTGCCTCGGTGCTATTTTAACTGTAAATATAAAATCATTATTTTAACTTGTAGTATCTTTATTTTATATAAGAAAATGCATTTTATGCGTATGAAACTGTCTCTTGGGACTCTTGAATTTTTTTCATTCAAACTTTGTTCGTATATATGAATTATCTTAAAACGTGATGTAACAAATTTTAGCGGTGCCTCTGAGTCACCACTCGAGTGCACAGGGTTAAGCGATTAGGGTATACGCGCATTACACCCCGTTCATTTTTGATTAATCATCCATTCGATCGTCAACCGACTGAATNCACGACCGCGCTAGAAAGCCGAAAAATTTTCATAAAATTAAAATATTTCATTCGATTAAACCAAAATTATGAAGCAAACTTATATGGCATCGATCACTTCTTCAGCATTCGTACCTCTTGCAAATCTTAATAAAATTAGGCAATCATTTTTAATTTTTGATTAATCATCCATTCGATCGTCAACCGACTGAATTTAAAACGGGTAGATCTCCCCGTTCGGTTGGCTAAGTAGGTTGGCTATAGGTTGGCTATATATAGTGTAGAAAACATATTACCAATAAAAAAATACTATAAATGCTATATATAATTATATATCATATATTATGTTATAATATATATATTAATATATAGATATTATAATAATTTATATATATATATATATATATATATATATATATATATATATATATATATATATATATATATAAATAGATNATATATATATATATATATATATATATATATATATATATATATATATATATATATATTAATAGATAGATATTATAATAATTTATATATATATATAAAATACTGTATAAAGTAATACTATAAATACTATAAATATTATATCAGTAACTTAACACTATGCCGACCGCAGATCTTAAATCACGATTCTTTTGTTCGACCCCGGCATAATAGCTTGGAAATTTTCGATTTTAAACAAACAAATTTCGAAGATGGCGGTGATATAAATTCCTAAAATTAAGATATGTCATCGATGCCATATAAGTTTGCTTCATAATTTTGGTTTAACCGAATGAAATATTCTAATTTTATGGAAATTTTCGAGCTTTCCAGCGCGGTCGTGGAAGTGTTCCCACAACATCCCGAAAAATCGAAAAAATCGTCCGTCCCTTCGAAAATTCCCTTTCAATCGTTCCTCTCGGAGTAGATTCGAAATTTTACCGGCGCCTATTCAACGCTACAGTATCCCCCCATGACCCGTCCCCGATCGAGAAATAATGTTTATCGTCGATCGCGTATCGCGTTGCGCAATACATTTATCAGGCTCGTTCCGCGTTCGAACAACAAACGGCCGAGATGGCGAGTTTATCGAATATAAAGAAGACGCGCGCCGGCTTGATACCGACGGAAAAATTAATCTTTCATCGGGACACGATCGTTCTCTAGTGTTTGCTCGGTTTATCTCGAGGTACTATTTCATATCCAGGCGCGCGCGCGGCGATAAAACTCGGGCGCAGAAATCCAGCGCGGAACAAAAAAAGAAAAAAAGAAAAAAAATGCTATTGTCGCTGATAGAGAACTCGCTTGGAGCAACACCTCTCTGCGATACGCGACCGCTTCGCGAAGGTATCCATCATGTATATCGTCATTTTCCTCGACTTCGTTTCTATTTTAACGCAAACTCGAAGAGCGGTAGCCAAAAAGTAGGCAACACTGATTGATAAAGGGTTAAATAATGCGCGTTTCACGTCGGGATGGATAGCTTCGCGATCGATCGTCATTCGATTATATTATTCTTGCTCGATTCTACATACCTTCGGCACAGCTTGCGAGGAATTTCCCGTTGCTCGAGAAACTCATGTCGAGGACGGGGGCTGTGTGACCCTTCAACGCACCAACCATCCAGGAATGCGTGAACTCCTGCTGCGCCTCGCGTCTCTTCTTGTTCTTGGCGCGTTTGTTGCTGCCGGTTCCACCTCCACCCGTGGTCGCAGCTCCGGCCGATCCGCTCGTCGACTCTCGAGGGTCCTCGAATTTCACTTTTTCCGAATCCGCAGCATCTACGAACAGAGAACACACCATTTACATACAGGCTGTCCCAAAAATCTCTCGCAATCCGAAAGTAGGAGATTCCTCAGGTGATTTGAAGCAACTTTTTCCTTAGCGAAAATGCGATCCGCGGCTTCGTTCGCGAGTTATTCACGAAAAACAGTGACCCAATCGGAGGCGAGATCGTTTGACGCGAGACGGCCGAGCCAACGAGGGGAACTGGGCTCCGTGCGCTCGTTGGCTGGGCCGCCGCGCGCCAGCCGAGCCCGCCGCTTATTGGTCAGTGTTTTTTCGTTAATAACTCGTTAACGAAGCCTCGGAGAACATTTTTGCAAAGGAAAAAGTTGCTTCGAACGATCTCAGGAACCTGCTATTTCCGGGACACTCTGTATATCAAGCACGATTCGAACCGGTCGCCGGCTAAGAACAATAGAAAGCAAACCGAAAGGTGAACGCGCCGATTTTTTCGCGGTGTTGTTTCAATAAATAAGGGCCTGTTCTCGTATCTGACTCTCGTAAGGCTCATACCCGTTGAGCATTGCATCAGCCTAATGCGTACGGTGCACACTGTGATATCTGAAGAGATTCTCGATGGCCGCGCGCGATGAAACGCGTTTAGAATCGGTTTTTGAATCGTCGATATTTTTACGGTGGAAACATTTTATGAAACAGCCTGTACGGTTTCACGAAGTAACAAGATCTTGCGAGGGGACACGAGGAACACTCTGTCCCTTGTCTACTCGAATTTCACTCTGTCGGTCACGTTTTAATATTTTGGAGATCCTACATTGCTGACTAAACAGTTTGAGACGTTGCTATAGTATTGAGATGTTGTTGTACGTACAGTGTGAACGGGGTGTAATGCGGGTACCCTAATTGCTTAACCGTTTGCACTCGAGTGGTGACTCAGAGGCACCGCTAAAATTTGTTACATCACGTTTTAAGATAATTTTGATACGAACGAAGTTTGAATTTAAAAAATTCAAGAGTCCCAAGAGACAATTTCATAAGCATAGAATGCATTTTCTTATATAAAATAAAGATACTACAAGTTAAAATAATGATTCTATATTTACAGTTGATTCAAAATGCATTTTGTTATATAAAATAATGATTTTATATTTACAGTTAAAATAGCACCGAGGCACCGCTAAAGTTTGTTGTTTTAAGATAATTTTTATATAAACAAAGTTTGAATTTGAAAAATTCAAGAGTCCCAAGAGACAATTTCATATGCATTGATATTACAAGAGATAACAAGATAACAAGATACTATAAGTTAAAATAATGATTATATTTTTACAGTCAAAATACCTTCGAGTGCAAAGGGTTAAAGTCGGTGAATCACCGGAACGCGCTCTACGCGCGTGCGTAATCGAACATGGCGGCGGCACGAGTAAACAAAAACAGCGCGTAAACTGCGTCAGCGATTGTTATCGAAAACAGGAATCGCGAGCTTTTTTTACCGTGTTTCCGGAAATTTTGCGTTGTGTTGGGGAAATTTTGCGATATCTAACCGGGCCAGTATTTTATGCACCTCGTAATTTCCAAGAAAATTATGACTCGAATTAATCCAGACTTCTCGAAGAAAGTCGAACATGTTCCGACTTTCGTGGCTCTAACGACGACGACGGCTCCGCCGACGACGGAAGTCGCGAAAATTCGCGCTCGGAAAATCGGTTTGCGGGAACGCACGAATTCGAATCCAACTGAACGGTATGCACTCGTCACGTGTACGCACCACTGCCAGCCACGTAGGACCTATGGAGTCCCCTCCGCGAGGAATCTATTTACGATGAGAGAAAGATAGACACCGAGAGCCATCGAGAGACGCAACCTCGTCGCATTGTATTCGCGTAGCTACTGCCTGGTGTTTACGTTCGGGGCAACGTTTTTTTCCACGTATATCGTCGTCGTCGTCGTCGCAGCGAATGCACCTAACCTTATCGCCACGAGAGGGAAGCAAAACAACGCTAGAAAAACAGAGTGCGCGGACACACGACGCGGCGGCGCACGTGACTGACCGTACTACGTCACAGGATCCCGGTCGAGGTTTGAACGCGGTCGTTCGAATCTTGCACGCCGTACGATACAGACACAAGAGAGAGATTCTTGCGAATGAAATAGAGAACACTTACAAACGAAAATCTTCCAATCGGCACACTGGCACTGTATACACTCGTATGTATTTCTGTGTGTAGAATGTAACACTTTGACACCAAGATCACAGCAGAACCAAGAAATGTTGACACAAGCAGAAACGAAGTTAACACTAGCAGAGAACAAGTGAATATAAGCAGAAAGCTTTCGGACGACTCTAAATGCACTAATGCAAACCGAGCCGAGTACTCGCCCTTTTATAGCTTCCTTGACCCGCGCAACAGGTACAGGTAATAAACTGTTTTGAGGATGACCGATTGGTCAACCACCGAAACCAAACCTTTTTTCCCCCCACTACCTTCGCCTATCCCCTCTCCGCCGCGCAATCACGGAAGCCCTTCTTTTCAACTAGAAGGCATTGTAACCGGTTTCGAGTTCTGTTTACGGCGCCTTGTTCGCAAGAAATCCGCCGTTATGGTGGTGGGGGGAGAGGAAAGCGTCCCTCTCGCTCCTCCTACTTTCTGCTCGCAGTCTCTCCCACTCTTTTTTATGATACTTGCAAAACTACCACCCCTATTGCCTGCCGCATTTTTGGGACTGCAGGAGAACAATACGCTGTAAAGAATGTCAGGTGGAATAGCCGCATCTGTTTTCCTATATTTTTCTCGGCGGACCTCGCTTGAGCAAGGCACAATAATTATACGAATGAGAGAACTATCATGAATTAGACGTAAAAATATTCCTAATGTTTGAGACAATGCTAATGTTCCATTCAGTATGTCTTTAGTATCGCTAGTCATTTTTTTCAGATTTTTCGTTTCGCACTTTATTATCAAAAAAATTATTAATTATTTAAATTATTAAAAAAATTATTTTAATAAAAACGGAACCCAAATTTGTCGACGCTTTTGCTGCGAGAAAGACAGTTTTTAGACGTTATTACATTGAAACAAGCAATTTTTTAGAAAAGGGCTAGGGTAAGGAGCAGGAAGGAGAAAAAATATTCCTAATGTTTGAGATAATGCTGATGTTCCATTCAGTATGTTTGTAGTATCAAGTTTTAGCAAGCAATATTTTAGAATTAGAATATTTTATTATTCTATTATATTTTTAAATATTTTTTAGAATATTTTAGAGAAGGGCTAGGATGAGGAGGAGGAAGGAGAATAAATATTCCTAATGTTTGAGATAATGCTGATGTTCCATTCAGTATGTGTCTGTAGTATCAAGTTTTAGCAAGCAACATTTTAGAATTAGAATATTTTATTATTTTATTATATTTTTAAATACTTTTTAGAATATTTTAGAAAAAGGCTAGGATAAGGAGGAGGAAGAAGAGAAGGGGAAAGAGAAGTATTTTGCGTGTGATTAATTATGCGCAATGTAGTTGAAAAATAATTATAATTTTATTATACTGAACATTGACATTATCTCAAAACATTAGAAATATTTTTATAATAAAATTATACTTGTTCTGCAACTATATGTATTGCGCATATCAGTATAATTTTATTATACTGAATGGAACATTAGCATTATCTCAAACATTAGGAATATTTTTATAATAAAATTATACTTGTTTTGCAACTATATGTATTGCGCATATCAGTATAATTTTATTATACTGAATGGAACATTAGCATTATCTCAAACATTAGGAATATTTTTATAATAAAATTATACTTGTTTTGCAACTATATGTATTGCGCATATCAGTATAATTTTATTATACTGAATGGAACATTAGCATTATCTCAAACATTAGGAATATTTTTATAATAAAATTATACTTGTTTTGCAACTATATGTATTGCGCATATCAGTATAATTTTATTATACTGAATGGAACATTAGCATTATCTCAAACATTAGGAATATTTTTATAATAAAATTATACTTGTTTTCCAACTATATTGCGCATATCTAATCACAAGCAATATTTCTCTTTCTCCTTCCTCCTCCTTACCCTAGCCCTTTTCTAAAAAATTGCTTGCTTCAATGTAATAATATATAAAAACTTTCTTTCTCGCAGCAATTTGTCTCGTCGACAAATTCGGGTTTCGTTTTTTTCCTTTTCTTTTTTTGACAATGAAGTGCGAAACGAAAAATCTGAGAAAAAAATGAACAACGATACTACCTCGTCAGGAGAATTAATGTAAATTAAATGGAATAAATGTTGCTCGGGGAATTACGTGATCAAATAGCACTGTTTAACCGAGGAAAAGACCAAGAAATCAGAAAGAGGGACGACCGCGAATGCGTGACGTTCGACGTGACGAACCGTAATCTCGGACAGAAGACATTATCCCATGCGGAACAATGGAAACGGAACGGTGGGACTCGATGCAGACCAAGCTCGAACTAATTCTTCTCAGATGCATACAGGGTGTATTCGTAAAACGGGCCGTCGAGGCGAAAGAATTCTTTCTTACTCGAACGAAATCTCTAGTGCACAATAAGATAGTAATCGGTGCCCAGCGCGGGAATTATGGCTGTGTCTTCGGCGGATAATGTATTACGTCTCGCGATTCAACAGCGGCGCCGCATATTTCAATTTTTAAGTAACCTCTCCATTCTCCAGATGCAATATTTTACTTTTTACGACGCGATGTCCGTAACGATTCAATATTTATTATTGCAAATTCGAGTTCGTACATATTGAATTTGTATAGCTGAAGAAGAAGCTGACGAATATGGTCGGCGTTAGAGGCACCGTTTCCGGTAGGTTCCGATATTGCTGGTCCGAATACGGAATGTCGCGAGTTTTGTTTTTGTTACAGACCGTGCTCGAACAATAAAAAATAAAACACGACGAGCAATTGCTGACAAAATTTTATATATAATAATAATTTTATATATTATATATATAAAATTTTGTCTCTGCAATTATAATATAATATATATATATATA